TTTCAGTAGATTTTGATACCTACGAAGCAGGCTGACTCTGATTAGGAGCAGCATCGTCGTTCGTTTCTTTGAAGCTCCAAAGAATCTCGATGGGAACGAGATTAAAGTTAAATAGACTCTTATTCATGACATGCCGATGGTATTGGTTTTCATGCTAATTATGTATTCATGACTCAATTTATCCGCACAATATACTATTTTGCTTCGTTCTCTTGGAAAGATCATGAGGGTATTCTATCTTCCATGCCGTGAACCTCGTCTAAGATAGGTCTTGGCGTAAGACTGCTTGTGTTTCGGCAGCTGGAACGTGATAGATGAGAGGAGATGTCGCCGTTGCTACAGGCATTAGACAGGCTCGGTTGAATTTCGTTCTGGACACAATCCAGTTGCCATCGGACTGGACTTTTTCTCGCCTCATGCGGGTCGGCTAGATCAAGTGATTTCTGGCGCCAGAGTTCGAGCCAGCTTGCTGGCTGCCCGAAACCTGATATTGAACTTTTTCTATCTGAAATTCAGTGAAAAATGGACATACTCTGAGAAGATATTGAGCAGCGACAGTTCACTTTTTCAACAGTTGGACGCATCGTCTGACTTCGGTACAATCTACGAAGATGTGAATTATACGCTTTTCGAAATGGCAAAAATGTACTCCCATTTCTGGCAGTGTATGTGCAAAGCAGCGTGTGCATCCTTGGACGACTGGCTCAGACTGGTATCAGTCGGCTGCATTTGGGCTTATGTGCCTCCTAAAGCCGAGAATACAGGCGGCCAGATCTTTTATCTCGATTTCTTTCTGCTACCCTCCTCTGAAAGATGCAGAGAAATTGCCTCATCACAGGCGAGGCGAGCACACCTACCCGAAAGCCGCTATTTTTACCGCCTTCCTACCCTGGCGCAAGTGTCAGATGATAGAGTCCTGTACAAATTTACTGTTGAGTGTGGCCTCGAGCATCAAACCCGATCGCTTAGTTGCTTCGTGACGCATCAGTGCCTCCAGAGGCTGAAACGCAGCCGGTGGCTTCTCTGGTCACGGATTGGGTTCACTGTTGGCCGATACACAACACGAAAAGAGCTACAAGCCGGTCTGTCATAATGACAGATTGGAAGGTACGCGTCTGGCTCGAGCCCCGGCCAGACTTGGTTCCTTCTTCACGGAGTAGGCGTTTCGATTACGTCACGCTTGACTACTCCAGGATACGGTGTCGCCTAGTCGTAAGTGATACAGTTGCCCCGGGCCAGCCAAGCGTCCGTCCTGGACTCTGTTCAGCAGATCTTTTCTGCTCACTCATAACCTGTCGCTTGGGCGTCTGCCCAGTCGAGGGGTCGGCATCGGCTGTTCTACACCGGTTCTTGCTGCCGACGCGGAAACACAAGTCAGGCGTCTCGCATTCTCGCCACTTCGGTCTCTTCTAACCTCGACAGAGTTAACAATTTGTCTTCTATGTTGCTCTTATCCAAATAAAAAACATGCCAGAATTGTACACAAAAGTGGTCGTCTGCAAAAGTAGACTAGTTTGCAGCTGCCAGCGACAGAGACTGCCTTTGGCCCGGAGATGCTGATTGCTCTTCTCGGCAAGCTTTCTCCTGCAGGTTCGAAACTCTATTCTAGGTAGGATGAGACGACCTTTCAAGAGGCAAAGAGACGTGAAATAAAATGGCAACATGGGATATATTCATTTTATTGTGGGGAAATTCAGTTATCAGTTCAACGTCATCTCATACCATCTGAGATTGCTAAGGTTCTTATATTAAAATGTCGACTCGATAAACGTCTTCGAATATGTAAATCGCAAGCCTCTCTGCCTATCCTAGACCAACTGCTCGGATTCATTTTGGGAGTCCAGTTCCAAATGGATCTTCCCTGATTACTGGAGTATGCCTCAGCGCCCCTCACATGTTCACAAAGTGCCATAACAGACTGCACTTTTTTATCAGGCTTTCTAGAGTCCCGGAGTCAAGCCCGACTCTGACTTTCTCCTGCCGGACACTTTGTTGTAGAAAGTATGCTAGACTGCATCC